GCTAAGGACAGGAGCCTGGGATGAGAGCTGGTGGCGCCCAGCAAACACACCTATCTCTGCCACTTGCAGTCATCTTGTCCTCTTCCCTGGTCCATCCACCAGGAGGGCAGCGATCAGGAGGAAGACTGCGGTGGGCCAGGTGTCACGTCCAGGTAGTGTGTGACGCCCTGTACCTGGGCAGCAGACACAAGGGGGTTTTTCCTTGTAGGTACAGCTACATTTACTATTCAGTAGGTTCAGATGCTTGACTAAAGCAGCACGCCTGTAACTTCACAGAACAGAGCAGTGAGAGAGAACAAAGTGGACGGAAGCCTCCAGAGGGACTCTCAACAAAACTCTAAGCACTATATAGTTGCTGGGCTTCCCTATACTGCACAGTGTTTGCTTCGTTTTAAATACGGAGTCCTAGGTGTCATCACAAAGGCTTTGGGGCTGGCGAAGGGAAGGGGGGAGGGGCTGGTGAAGGGAAGGGGGGAGAGAGAGTCACACTGGAGAAAGCAGCAGAGCCAGCAGCTGGGGTGGGCAGACCAGAGGACACCAGAAACACAAGAGGGGAAAGCTTTGCACAGCCATGGACACCTGCTTTGCTTCCTGGTCACCTGAGGCCTCTGCCAGGCCGAGCAGCCACCAGATGCTAGAGAGGCACCCAGGCTCAGAGGACAGGCCACCTGCTGAAAGCCATGTAACCAATTAGAGGCAGGTGGACCGTGCGTCCCCAGGTCTGTTGGCTCCCTGGCATTGCCACAGCTCAGCTAGGCCCAAGCCTGACCCTTCACTCACAGACCAAGGATGGGGGTGTAGAGGGCGGAAATAGAGTATTCCCCAATGGAGCTAGGAGGGGAGAAATGGGGCAGAAAGATATAGTCTATCTTTGTGCCACAGGAGAGAGACTGCTCCTGGCACCACACTGCTTCAGAAACAGTAACTGCCCATAGGAACTCTCAATCAGGAAGAGCTGGACAAGGGGTGTTGGACATGTGTAAGCTGGAAAGGTCACACCTTTTACAGACCCTGAGTGGGGATGAACCTTCAAAGGTGAGGGCAAATTGGGATCTGAGGGTTCCTCAGCACCACACCCAATGAACAGGCAGCAGTCGAGCAGCGTCCTCTGGTCTAGAGCTGTTCCTGCCTATAAGTTCACCTGTTACCCAAAGTGAATGAGGCATTTCCAAAAACTCATGAACAGACAAAAATTCAGGCAGTCCTCAGGTTACTTTGGACTCAAGGTACACCGTTTCGTGGTTACGTCACCATCTCCCACGTATTTATTTTTTTTAAAGTTCCTTCACTTTGACATATGTACATAGATGCTTTACTATTTTTATTATTTATTGTATTTACCACAAGTAAAGGTCAGGAATTGTTATCATTTTTGTAGATTTTTTTTTACTGTTTCACTTCTTTACTTCTGTGTATGTGTTCCATCTGAGTGACGTAGGTACTTATGTAGGAGAGTTCCAACTTACGCGAAAAGTGTAGGAACGGATCTCCAATGTAACCTGAAGACCTACTGTATATTACACTCAGGTTTTACAGTATATGCGCTACACACTCATAAACCAGTCTTTAAGTCATAGCTGCTCACAGATCCCCTCCGGCAAACTTAGTAGAGGGAAGAGGAACATTCTCACCATTCATTTAAGTAAATCAAACTGTATGAGCTGTTTTCCAGATGGCTAGATTTTACTTTGATATCTTTTTGTTCTATGTTTCATTTTTACTCCAAAATTTAAAACAAATAAGCAAACAGGAAAGCACCACAGATATCCTGTCATCCTGATGCACATGCTCCTTTAGTCTGTAGACATGTACTGTGTGTCCACCTCGCCTGCAAGCCTCCTACTGTGTGCCCAAAAGCCATCATTGTATGAAGCTCTTTACTGAGTGACAGTTCCTTCAGCTAGAAGGAAATGACAGCTCAGGGAGTCAAGCCTGGCACTAAAACAAGGAAATCAGAGAGAGCTCTCTCTTTCCTACCACCCTGTTACTTCAGCAGAGAAGCTGGCCAAAGATGGCCATTAATCCTCTATTGTGCCCCATCCAGAATTCAGGAGTAGCAAGTGAGAAGCTTTCCACCTAAGGCTCTGTCCCCAGGGCATCTGTTTACTGGGTAAATTAATTACCTCTAGGGCCAATGAAGGAAGGTTGTCCAAACTTTCCCTGAGACCACAGATCTCCTATCTGGACCTATGTGCAGGCTCTTCAGCAAACCAAACAATAGTAAAACGTGCCTGGGAGGCTCCGGAAGCCAGCTAACCTCAAATAGTTCCTGTTCAAAAACTCAACAGGAATGTCAAGAAATTCAATAACCCCTTTGACAGAGTGGTGGTCAAATATCCTATAAGATTTGGGAATCCAGGGCTAAAACCTCACTTTTTAAAAATTAGTTTGGATAAGTTCTCTAGAGTTTCTGTAGTTTCTTTACATTTCCAGGATTTTCTTTTAAAAATTCCACCTTTGTTACAGAACTTAAACAGAAACCTTCTGAACTCTGACTAGAGCAGGAGTTAGTGGGAACATGTGTGAAGGGCACTGGACCTCCATGTTGGACCTGAGCAACCTGCACAAAATACTCTTCTCTCATATAGCCCATCCAAGAGTCAGCCACCACGTCCCCTACTGGTGCTAAGGCTCAGACCATGTTCTAAGGCTGTCTTTCCCCAGAAGCACACCTGGAAAGCAGAGACGGGTGCCTCCCCCATACTTTATATGCTTGGAAGGAGCCCGCCTTCCTTCCAGCAAAGCTGCTGTAAGGATCAGTGAAAGGATGGATGAAATCTCCATTCTGCTGTCTGGTTACAGCAACACCTCTGGTATGCATCCTGCTGCCACTGAGGCTCTGTTCTTCTCCACAGTGTCCTGGACAGCCCAGCCTCCTTCTGGAACCCCTCACTCAATCAGACTGGTGAGTGTCTACACTGTCTCAAGCTTGTCTTCCCGTTCTAAAAACCAACATCCAACACATTCAGTATAATGTCTCTTTTTTAATGATAAACATGGTTACTTTTATAATTAAGAAAAAAATGTATTTTACTTTAAAAAATTATGATTCAGAAACAAATGACTTAACTGTTTTTAAGTCCCCTATAATCCCAGCACATGACACAGGTGGTATGTAATCCCGAACATTTCAGCTCTCCAAGGTAACCATCTTTCACCTTCTCCTGTCCCCAACCTCAGCATCTCTCCCCACCTAACTCTGAGCTGATGACCTGGCATCCACAGGACACCCACCCAGCCACCAAGTCTGTGTCCCAAGTCCCCACTGGGAAGGAAGACAACAAACGACCTCAGGGAAGGGAGTAGCCTTGCCCATTGATATGCTATTCACTTCTTCAAAACCCAGAAAATAAATGCTATCTTAAAAGTAATAATAATTGGATATCTGTTATAATACAGTTGTACATACAGGAATATATATTTTCCCTCTTTTATGATAACACTATTTTATAATTAAAAAGTTTAATAAAACAAGGAAAAAGAGCAATAAAATGGGTATTTGTGCATAAGAAGTTAAGGAGAAGGGGAAGAATGAGATTTAAACCCTCTGCCCAAAATGAAGTCTATGGTCTGTCTCCACACGAAGCAGGAGTTGGCCCCACATCAGAAGGTCCATTTAAAGCCCATCTCTTCCTGCTCACGCAAACATGACCCACATTTACCATCTTCTCATGGTCTGTACAGCCACTGAAAATCTCTTCCTCCGTCCCACCCCTGGTGGGCACCAGGAAGTTGTCTCAAAATGCCCAAGTGCACAAGGACTCGGTGTTTAAACAAAGATAACACAGAGAGTGGGAATCGGCAAGCATCTTCATCAGCCATCTGAAAGTAACCCCCCACCCTGGGTCCTGAGGTAAAAAGTACACTGCGTGGTAGGTGGGGAGGATATACATGACAGTGTAGAAGAGAGGAGGCCAGCAACTCCGCAGGGCCCGAGCACTGTGCCCTGGAACAAGCGCCTTCCAGGAGCACTGCAGAGAAACAGCCTAGGTCTGTGCTTGAGGAAAGGCCAACAGCAATCCTTGGCAGACCTCAGCATCGTCCTGCACAGAAAGAAACGTCTCCTTTGACCCTTGCAGCCTTGTTGCAAGCTTTATCTTGTTTTTCAGGGGCCTGGGAAAGGTGAGGCCATGAATGTGTGGGTCTGATGGGGACCATGGGCCAAAGAAGGGTCTGCCACCTCCCTGTCCCAGCCAGCCCTGCTCACAGAGGGAGTGTACAGAGGGGCCACAGGAAGCCTGGGTTCAGGAGGAGCCACAGAGCAAAAACCACAGACACAGAGGCCTTCAGGACACGGTGAGGGCAAGGGTCCAGCAGCACTGCCCTCAAAGACCTGGCGGAACATGTACATGACCGAGCGACAATAGCTCACTCACACCCCAGGACTTCAGTATGTTAGTTTTCTTTTCAGTAAGGCCAAGCGGCCTGTGAAGGACAAACAGTACCCACTCTGAGCTGAAACTCTGCAGGACATCACACGGGGAGAAATGTTTTACAGAAAAAGGAAAGAAAAAATTTCCACGGCCATGTAAACTTAGAAAACTTTGCTAAAAGCATACAATTGAGAAATATCATATATGGGCTGAATGATTTATAATCACAGTTGAAGCTTTTTTGTTTAAAAAAAAAAATCAAAAGCACTTAGGAAACAATGTCATGGACTCAGTTCACCTCTAGAAAGGCTGGGGCCATGGTCAAAGTGTCACCACCAATGGCCCTGTGGCCTCACCTGGCGTGGAACTTTTGGCCCCAGCTCCAGCTCAGACACAGCCTCTGGCACTGCATCAGAGACGATGGCTCATCTCTGCCACGGATAAGATCCAGTCAGTGCCCATTTCATTCCCAAGACGGGCAGCCTATTTTACCCAAGAAAAAGGTCCCCTCCCCATCTTCATGGAGCTGGTAATTCCACTCCTTTCTCTCGGTGCCCTCCCAAGAAAGTGGAGCCTTGAAATAGCCTTCAGGTGAGCCGAGCCCCAGGACTGAGAGTGCTGACTTACCAGTGCTGGACATGTGGTTCACACGGGCCGGGTTTAGCAGCTCCACGGGCTGGTCTCGGCCAGAAAGTCCATCTACAGGATAGAGAAAGTGTTTGGTTTCAGGAACTGCTTGAATTTCAATGAGAACACTTTACATTCAGAACCTCCACGAAGCAAATCCTTGAAACAATGATAAAGTATGTGTCCTTCTTACTTTAAAGATGATAGATTTAATTTCATCATGGGTCGTTTTTATTTGCTGAATCAGAAAATAAAAGACCCTCAGTAGAATAACCAAAACAGTCCCCAAGAGAAGTTCCCAAACTGGCAAACACCAATTTCTGGCCAAAAATCTAGCTTAGCTGTTTTGTTTACTTCAGTCAGCAACCACATTATACCTACTTGTGTTTATCAGAAGTCAGCCTTCCTGCAGAGACCACAAGCATAAAGACAATAACAACAGAAGAGCTACTCATTCTTGCCGGGCACTAACAAATGGCCTGCGTATTGAGGGAAACAGCCCCCAGGAGGCAGCTTAGCTTAAAACAGCGGTGGTGGGTATGCAGGCGGGATAGCGAAGGAAACAGATGAAGACACAAATCTTTTAGAAAAATACCTGGCCAGGAAATGACAATGTTTAAGAGATGGTTTCTGTTGCATCCCCTTTTAGGCTTGGACTGTCTTTAGGAATGGTGTCTATGTGTTCAGGCTACTGTGGAGCTGGGCACAGAGACTGTCCACCACCCAAGCTTGTAGCAGGCTGCATGTAGACAGCCTAAGATTTTCCACATTCTCTCAGAGAGAAAAGAAAGAAAACTCTAGTAAAACTTCCAGGAATCACGCTTCTTTAAAATTAGCTCCTGACAAGTGTGTCAAACGGCCTGCATGAGAGGCACTTCATTATCCATGACAGTGCGAAAGGTAACTTTCCTTACCAACTTAAGGGCGAAAACACAAGTTGCACAGAGCAGCCATCAGGTCCTGAGGCAAAATTTCAATAATGATAAAAACAAGTAACTTCTGCTCTACTGACTGTCATAAAACTTTGCTTTGTATCCAAAATGGATAACATTTTGTGCAGCCTTCACATTTTGTGTTATACAACACCCATGTGTGTCTTTGGAGATGTTAAAAATCTAAGGACAAAATTAATGACCTAAGAAGGTCTAAAAGGATGCTCCTGAGAGCTGAAGACAATCTGAGGAAGAAAGGCAAGGCGTGCGAGGCCCCCAAACTGCCCTCTGGTATAGCCTGCATGAGGCCCTCGTCACTGCACCATGGGAGAGGGACGGAGCGGCTCTGGCTGTGCACCCGCAGGGATAGCAGCTGAGGGCAGCTCAGAGAACCAAATGCTGGTATGTGTAGTCTCTCCCACACTCAGCACCCCTCCCCAATTCTGGCCATGTGAAGGTATCACAATAGTTATAAGAAAACAGCATATTTGGGGTTAAGATAGCCCATACTCCCTTGAGTCAAGAGAAGGATGGAGGCCACTGAGGCCACCATGCCCAACTACTAAGGGTTTTCTCCTGGAACACAACCACCCCAAGCTGGCCTGACCGCAGAACTGTAAACCTAAGGCTATGAGCACCTTTGCTACCATTCACACAGAGACCTCGAGACAGTGATGGGAAATGGATAACAAAACTTTCTCCTGAAAAGAAATTTATTTCATTTATAAGTGGAGCGATTCGTTTTGAAAACTGAAAAATTCAGGAAAGTATATACATATTCTGACTTTTAACCTACTGTGATCACTTCAGAAACACCAAAAGGTACTTCTGAAAACCCGTCCAGCTGCAGCTCCCCGATAGGCGGGATCAGAGCCAGATGTTCGGAGATACTACCTGTACAGGGCTCCACAGCTGGGCTCTGAGAAAGCAAGGGCTGTTCTCTCTGGCTCCACCAGCCAATACACATCCCTAAACTATCCTCCTCCAGTCACCTCCTCAATGTCCACCCTCAGCTTTCATCTATGTGAAACACTTAAACCAGAAGCAGTTAAGACACCCAGACGCCAGCCAGCATCCTCATTTCACACTGCGGTCTATGGTGCAGGGCAGCATTCAGCTCAGTACAGATTTTCCACGATGTGGGATGAAACTGCTATCTGCCTCAGGCCTAAAGGTCTCAATGATCACCACATGAATAAATGATGCCTAATAATACGTTCCTCCACCCACACTAAAGCTGGAAGATGCATTAAACCTCTATGCAATCAATCCCGAGTGTAAGTTAGACATGTAGTATCAGAGTATTCAAAAGCTTCACTGTGTGGTTTAAATCACTGTATGGCTGGGCTGAGTCTTGGCTCACCCACCACATTTACGGGCACTGGTCTAGGATATGTCATACTGAGTCACCAGAAAACAATCGTATGCGTGAACTAGCTGGCAGCCCACAAAACACTGCCACTGGATAAGAGCATGACAGATTCCATACGTAAACTGAAGCCGAGCACAGTGCATGGTGTCAGGGAGAGGGACTATGCCTGTGCCCAGTACACAGGCAGGCTGGGCTGGCTGACATCTAGGCAACCTGTACACTCACTCCCTAAACCTGACCTTTCCACATCCTTGTGGGATAAAGTCCGACTTAAATCTAGTAGGAAAGTGTTCTGGGTTAGCGTTAGGTTACTAGTAAAGTGTCCTGCCTCTCCATAAAGAAGCTACCATGTGAAACTGCCTACGAACAGCAGGAGGGTCTAAACACACAGGCACTGAAGAGGAGCAAGCAGAGAGGCCTGTCACCAGACACTTGCAGCAGAAGACAGGGCAGCAGCATGAGCCCTGGAAAGCTAAACATCCCACCCTCGGCCCCTCCCAAGTCATTCATTCAGCAGGACACCATAAGCAGAAGCTATACCTCATCACTAGAGGAGGAAGACAAAAGCCAAAACCAGGTGCTTTCAAAGAAGGCAGGTGACAGACCTGATAGGCTGGCCTCATGGAGTTCAACAGTACAGAATGCCTGGGAGATGTCTCTGAGCAGAAGCAAACAATGGAAGGCCACCAAGAACAGACTGGACATTGGGACACGAGACATAGACAAGCACCACCACCTCTAATACTGGCCCCAGAGTCCTGCAATTACCTGGTTCAGGTGCCCAGACTGAGTCCTGGGTGTGTGACCTGGGCATATGGTTGGTAAGAACCCGATCACATGGCAAAGACTCGGCTTGGGACCATAGGGACCACAGAGACATGTTGGTCCTCCCTAGTCTTGGAGGATTCAAATCTAATTATAAATTGGGAAAGACGTCCCAATTCCATGTAATACTTGCAGCGGGACCCTATATGTGTAAGTAACGTGCCATACAAACGCCATAGTAATAAGACAAGAAAGTTGGAGTGAAGCAGCACAGGAACCAGAGTCGGTGACATATCCAACCAAAGGTCTGACAAATCTGGTTCCATATCTCAGTTCCCATAAAAAAGACTTCAGGGTGTGCAGCTTTGTCCCAGGACAAAGCAGAAACCACATTTGAGGGGCAGGGGCTGCAAAGACTGAGATGACAGTTCAGAACACAGATCTAAGTGCATCAACAGCATGTAACCAGGTAGCCAAAAGGCAAAACACACACTTCGTCAGGAAGAAACAGCAAACAGTAGGAATACAGCCACACAGATACAAGGCTAGTGCCCATGGAGACACACTGGTCAACGAGCCCACGCAGGCTTGCACCTTAATGCTATGTTGCTTCTGACAGCATGTTCCGGAGTGAGCTGAAATGAGGATTAGGCATAATTTCCATATTTACATCCTTTGCTGGAAGCCTAAGCTTCGGAAGGAAGCAGCAGTAAGAACCTAACATTTAACAGGAAGAAAGCGATCAAAGACCTACTTCCTCTTGGACCCTGAAACACCCACAGCAGGCAGGTTTTCTCCCTGGTCTGCCTTCATGGGAGAATCTAATCTGGAAACCCACTGGATTGGACTGTGGTACTTCATGTCCGAAAATGACTACTTAATTAGCTCACTGAGCTAAAAGAACGCACATGCAGAAAACAGAAATGGGGAGCATGCATGTCTTCCAAGTCTCCTCACAGTGTGATTCACCGTGGATGCGCACAGAGCACAGTCACCTATGCTCTGGGAGCTGACAGGACCATGCTCACAAAGAAACAGCGTCTGTTTCAAGATTATAAGCTTTAGCTTACAAATAATTGCCTGCTGTAACTCAGTGTCGTCCCGAGGGACAGCACAGATGGCTTTCAGAACTTTACCTTGAGTGATAAGCATCAAGGTCTCTAACTAGAATCATGGCCTTTGGAGCCAAAGGAACCTCACTCTCAACTCACCTGGCCTGCTCCCACCTCTTACTCATGGGAAAAGGGCCCAGCAGGGCTGAGCTCTGTGCCCAAGATCATGCAGTTAGCACCCCCAGAACCCAAAATGGTCTCATCTAAACCAGTTGCAAACCTGAATTGGACCTAGGGCAAAAGCTCACTCACCAGGACCTGTACCAGCAACTTAGGGCTTCAGGAACATCCTTCTCCTCAACCCCAAGGAACCTGTGCTAAAAAGAAAGAAAGCAGGAAAAGACAGGCAACACTAGGAAAAGAGAAAAGAAAGGGGGTGGGAGGGATGAAAACACATCCAAGTTATGATTCATGCACTTCTTCACTTTTCAGGTCCAAGTTTCCAAAATTTCTAAAGAACAGAGTTCACAGGGCCTTCTATGGAACCCACTGACAAAGTTGGGCAAGTGCCAGAGATATCGGCCCAGAGAGGCCCCCAGACCTAGCTGCACGGTGAAACCTGCACAGCTGCCTGCCCCCTCCTGGAAGTCATGGGCATGCAGGTCAGATCAGGCATAGTCAACCAGTGGGGACTCAAATAATGTGGACCGAAGCAATTTCTGTGACAACTCCCATGTAATCTATGGGATGAAAGAGCCAAAGCAAAACTTTCAGACACTGAAGAAGAAGGCGACTCCACCCTTTCCATGATAGAAGTATAATATATATTACAGTAGAGGCCTGATGCATGAAACTCTGGGGCTTGGCCCTCGCAACCCTCACAACCCTCACAACCCCGGCTTCGTCTGGAAGGTCATCCAGAAGGATATCCGGAAAGTTGTTCGGCTGATA